TCCCCAGATTTGTCCTCTAACTATAAAAAAAGTTTTATGATTTTATCATGAGTACTTCTGTAGTATATTAATTTCAAAGCCCTGTGCATTGATGAAAACATTCAGACTTGTTACTGAATTTGCTGTACACTTCTGCATTGTTTGCTTGTTAGGGAAGGGCAAGCCCTGCTTTCCCAAATTTGTCTTGGGTTTACATGGCAAGTTTGGGGAGGGAGGGGGCTGCAGGGTGGCCAGCTGAGGCCCTTGGCACCTCTGCAATAACCCTGGAGCAGTCTGAACCCCATGGAGAGGATCCACACTGGAGCAGTGCTTGGAGGGCTGCAGCCCCAGGGAGGGAGCTCACAACGGGGCAGGGGAAAAGGGTGAGGAGGGAAGAGCAGAGACCAGATGTTACAGACTGACCACAACCTTCCTTCCCCTGCCACTGCTCACAGGGAAGGGAGAGGTAGAAGAGTCAGGAGTAAAGGAATGAAGCTGAGCCTAGGAAGAAGGGTAGTTTCAGTTTTGTCTTTGTTTCTCACTATCCTACTCTATTTTTAAACAGCAATAAATTAGTTTTCATCAAGTCACATCTGTTTTGCCAGTAACTGTTTCTTATCATGACCCATGACTTTTTCCATCTTATTTTCTCCCTCCTCAATAGGACAGGGGGAAAGTGAGAGCAGCTGGGTGGGCATCTAGCAACCAACCTACATGGCAAAAACTCCACAATATGCTGAAAGGATCTCCCCCTTAGCTACCCAGCATGAACTTGTTTTGTGCTGAGTAGCTCAGATCCATTTACAGAAGTGTAGCAAAGAAAACAAAACCCCTCAAGCTTCTCAGACATTGCTTTTTAAAAGGTCTGTATAATTTATTATGGAATTTGAGCTTTTAACCACTAAGTTACAACAACAATGCATAACTTGACATTCTTACAGTTGTACATACACAATGGAAAAGACATAGCCCAGTGCTTAATCCAAACAATGCAACCAAGTTAGTACAAGGTTACCATAAAAGACAGTCAATTGTGAATAGCTGCTGACAGACTGGCAAGTTCAAATGGTTCTCTGCAGTTATTTTTATAGTAGAAGTAACTGGCTTCAAAGTTTTGGACTTAAGCTTCAGACTAACAAAATGATGCGAACTCAAATTATTTTGCTCTTCTGAATTAAGAAGGATATGCTCATTTAAAAATGCAGTATCATTACCATGTTTCAGATGGTGAAAAGTAGCTTCAGATCCAATGGAAGTACAATGGACAGTTTCCAGGCAATGCATTCGTCACACAAACACATGCAATTATAGAGACATTCTACTTTTAAAACTTTCTCAAATTAAGTTTTGCAATACAGCAGGATATCTGAGGAGAGAGATCAGGACCCATACTGAACAAAACCAAAAGCCTTCAGCTTGATTTGTGCATGTTTAATCTACAGTTCCAATTACCAAATCTTCACACATCACCTATGAGAGAAAAGAACACATCTAGTAAAGATCAGTCTCAAGGAGAGAAGACATGTTACAATTTTTACGGGCATTCTGGTTAAAAATAAAAATAATATGCTGCTGCCATCTTCCATTTCAGGAATTGTAATTCACCATGGCACTATTTTAAAACTGCATCAAGGGGAGAGTCTTGCTCTTTCCTCCTCCACCCCAACTCCTCATCCCCTTAGCCCAGCTCAAACTCAGTTAATTGCACAGTAAGGATATTCAGCTTCCTGGCTTGTTAAAATACAACTTTGATAGATTTAATTTTCTGCCACTTAAGCTGAACTAGTTCATCACATACTCTTAATCTGAATGGGAGGCAGAGCAAAGTAAATAGAGCAGAAAAGAAAAACCAGAAAGGACCACTCTCTTCTTGTAACAGCAAGCTATTAAATCAGTCCAAGCCATTGTGCAAAGTCTCGCCCAGCCTGGTGGCTGCAGGGAGACAAACGGTAGAGAACGTCTCTTGTGAAGCTGCCAACAAAATTTCATTCACTCAGCAGCCAACACCAAGAACTCCACTCCCTCCAGGTTAACCCGATGAGATATTGCCAGCTGACTCCTCTACTAGATTTCAGTTCCACCTCTCTTTGTAGAGCTGCAGAGTCAGTATGTTCTTATTGATCTCAGTATCTTCATCCAGCACAGAAAAACTGCATTCAGTGCCAAGTGCTGAAAATCAAACCAATGAAAACTACACATGCAACCTCTCCACAAAACAACCCCACCAAACCAAAAAAGCACCCCCAAAAACCCACCCCAAAAGCAAACACCCCCCCCAAACACCCACCTAGCCATCACCACAATATCATTACTGGCTTCATTCAGGGTGCTAAAGGCTCTGTTGAGCAAGAATTCCCAGTTTTACCAACACTTGGGATGTTGATGTGTAACAAAAACGTTTGTATTACACATTGTGGCAACAACTGAAAAAATATTCCACAAATTCAGAATGCCGTTCTTAACCTACTGGTGTATACTTCAAAGTACAGTTGGTAATGCCAACAGTAGTTGCATGTCTAGTCAGAAGTCTGCTTTTATGGGGCAGCTAAATCATCAGCCCAACCTGTTGTGTCCTATCTGTTGCCATCATCACGTAAAACCAACACCTTTCGCTTCTGATCGAGCTCATCAAAACTTGCAAGTATAGACACTGCCTCAGACATCCTCTGAACCACAGGGGTAACCACTGCTACACACTTGCTGAGCTCCTCTGCACAACCCAGCTTCGGCAAGAATATACTGGTGCCCAATTTATTAAGTTGGCATGGATTAAAAGCATTCTCACTGTAGTTAAATTATCCTACAACTCCTCTGGCATACCTCCAGAATCTAGCACTAATTACTGGCAACAGGTTACTGGTCTACATTCACATACTCATGAGGCAGGGGAGGTGCGAGGGGCAGGGGGAAGGAGTTACTGCTATCTAATCAAACTCCTCCAGTACATGCAAAAGATCTCCTCCAAGCACTGCTTAGAGCCAAAGAAGAATCCAGTCTACGGGTCGTTAGTAAGAGAAAATCCAAATTTTCTAATTAAATTGGTACTGCAGGTAATTAAACTCACTATTAACATGCATTTATATCTGAAATGTCTACGGTTCATTTTTGCTTGCTATGAAGTCTGAAAGCTGAAGCTGGTTTAAACAGTTATTTACTATCAAGTTTCCAGTTTGGCATTTGTAGACTATTATTAATAAACTAAAATTTCTGAACAAAGAGGGACCTCTAGTTTTCACTTTAAACACCAGTCCACTTTGACATGTTCATAGCTCCTTTTAAAATCACTTTAACTTTACAAATTTTCTTGCTAACAGTAACACCAGAACTAACGAAGCCACACCAATGAACACAATACTAACAAAACTTATTCTACAACAATAACATCCCCTAGTCCTGCTAGGGATTTTCCCCAATTGATATATTCAACTTCACCATTGGGGGGCTGTCCACTTCATGTGGGCAGTGTGCTTCAGCTTTGTATAGCCATGTCACATGAATGCCTCTAACAAGAAACCCTCTGCCTGATGACAGCAAAATCTGACAAAGGGACAAAGGTCTCCGAGACAAGTTCCTGCATGCTTTATGAAAAATGTGCAGCTAGGAAAAGAATCAGGTTGGGGGGGGGGGGGGGGAGAAGAAACCCACAACACATACAGCAAGAGTTCCCACATTAGGCAGGACATAGGCTAAGCAGAAGAGGCAGATTAAAGCTCCTCCAAATGGTAGGGAAAGGAGTCACAAGGCAGCTATCCTGCAAAAACATTCATGGGGGGGAAAAGAGACTCATTAGTTCTGACCTTCACATAGGCTTTTCGTAGGTAAAGTGCCAGAAACTAGAAATACCAGTTTGAACCAACATAGTAGGTCCAGATCAGCAAAGTCTGGGAACCTGTATTTACCTATAGCTGCCTATACCCGTTTACTCTAAAAGTTACGTATTAGATGAGCTGTAACAGTAGGTCATATGCTCCAAGTTTCTAATCTTCTCTTTCAACTGTTTTAAGCTCCCTAGATTGTTTCTTTCCTGTCCTGTACTTTTTATCCTACCACTTTTTGCTAATGCATGTCAGCTTTTTGACTGAGGTCAGACTAATGATTCGCTTCGGAAGATTTTTGTCATCGAGCTTCCAAGGAGAGCAAACTGCTTGCTGGAGGCTCTGCAATTCGGCCTTTTATTGTCATCATTCCTCAGCAGCACAGCTGGCCTTACGAGACCTAACTATATCAAAGACGAACTACGCGCAAACCAACTCGACTGAAAACAACTACTCAGGTGAAAGGCTGAAATGAAACAGGTATAGTGCCAGCATTAGAAACATACCCCAGGAATCTTCACACTTGGATATCTTTCTAAGTCAGTACACTCAGATTTTATAAGCACGCTTTTCAGTCTGCAGGTCCCTTTAAGCTTTTCTTCCAGCCTTCTGCCAGATCTCAGCTTTGATTCTTAAGAAAGCTTTTGGTTTTATAGGTATTACATAAAAGCTGAAGTACTCACCACATTTCTCCTCTCCAGCATGAATATTGCGCTGCAGGTATCAGCAAGACACAATCCACAGACTGACAAGACTTCTCTTGATAACGCCTTTTGGTTCCTCCTTGAGCTAGAGTTTAAACCCTCTCAACATTTACTACATCAATGTTCAGTTTTGTGTTAAGGAAGAGGGAGAAGACTTAGTTTTTAATATTGAAGAGACAGTTAAAAAGGCAGTTCTGGAAATGTTGATAAGCTTCTTTTGGAGACATAAATGTCCCTATACGTTGTTTGGTTTAGTTGTGGGTTGGTTTTTTTATTTGTTCAGTTTTGGAGATGGTTGGTCAGTCATATTCCATTCTCATGTGCTTCTTGTAAGATAAAGGCATCACAAAAACTTGCACCTGCTGGTGACATCAGAACTACAACCTGACAATTTTCCAGTAAACCTAAAAGTTACACTCCTACAGGGAAGAGGCAGATTTTTTTTAAGTAGGCATTAATAGGAATTTTTTGAAGGAAATTTAGGGTGAAACATCTGCTCTGCAAAGTAGAAGTTCAGATTATACTTCCCCAGCTGAAACCTCTGTCATTTCTGGAACATTCATTCTAAAATTAAAAAAAGTTATTGCTTCTATTGAAGCTCAATATAAGTTAGAAAAAGAATTGCATATTTTCTTAAAAACATCCCAAATATACATTTTTAAAAACAAAATGCACTCTAAAACAAATGTCTAGTGAAAGACACTGTTTTAAACAACCTGGAGTAACAGCTTTACAAAAGAAAATTGAGGAATGTAGCATATTATTTATAACATGACAATGCTAAAATTCTAAACAATTCACTTAACACTCTTAGTAAGTAGTGTTTTAAATATACACATTTCTTTACAAAACAGTTTAGCAATTCCTTATACCACTTACAGTACATAAATATTTGAGTAAGAGGTCATAATGGGAGATGCCAGGGTTTATATTTACTCTCAGATGCTTCAGGTTTCTTAAGTGTTTTACTATAAGGCACAATACTGCTAATCTAAAAGAAAGGAATAAAAGCTAATGGCAAACCCAGTCAAAACTCCTAATGTGGAATATCCAAGAGAAGAATTCCAACATCTCTATACAAAGGAAAAGGAAAAAAAAAAAGAAAAACCAAAACAAACCCAAACTTTGTAAATCCTAAGAAACAGTTTCAATTTGTACATAACGAAGTGGGACTGGATGGGAATAGGAGTAAGAAGGAATTAAGTAAATTCTTATAAATAGACTAATAAATACATTTTAGCCATAATTAGCCCTTTACCTCTGTTCTACTGAGTTTAAGATTGAAAGAGGTAACCAGTGTGCATATACCTAAATAAGTCTACATGCTCAGCACGTGAAGACCACCTAGCACAACCTGTTACTGCCAAATTCAGTATAAAAAGCTAGCAAGATGGAGAAAGTCTCCTTTTCTCTCAGCATCCACTCCGAGTAGAACACATTACAAGATCAAATTAGTATTTGTTACATGTAAGGAAAGTTGCAACTAGCAATTTTTTCATCACAAACAAGGATATGCAACATATCCATGAAGTTATTTGACTCCTTCAACATTAGATTATTTCTTTCCTAAGAATATCCACCTCCAATTACAACAGATCAGAACTTTCAGAACATTTTAAGAGTTGTAGTCTTGTAAGTGTTCTCCATGTGTACATACTGAATGTAAATAGTGCATCCAAAATATTTATCCATTAGACATTCTACATTGTTTTCACTGCCTAGTCTTCATCTTTGTTACAGCCCTCTGGAACACAATGACATTGTAACAATGCTTACAGAAAAAGGGTTATTGCATTTTTTTTTTTTTTTTTTTTTGGATGAGACATCCAGAGGAGATTTTATAAAATCCTCCTGTGTACAAAATTCTTAGTTATTAGCCCTTTTGGAACACCAGCTAGAAAAGTTTGAAAGGTAAAATAATTTACATTGTTATTTTTTCCCATTAACTAGACAAAAGTCCATACTAATTAAATAAAAAATAATAGTTCTTCAACAGTCTATTCAAGATATCTTCCATGAAGCAGTTCAATGGGAATTTCCATTAGATAGATGTTCTCCATGCCGGTTATTACTGACATCCACATCTAGAAGTCAGGAATTAGAAGAAAAATTGTTTGTTGATTTACCACTTTAATACATTTTATCTGTTACATTAATCCAAACTCTGGCAAAAAAATTCATATTCATATATACCCAAGGTTCACAGGATTCTCTGGATAAGTAATCCTCCTAAGACACTGTATAGATCTCCCCCGCCCTGACCAGCTTCCTCCAGCTTGATAGAATTCTCTCAAAATCTACCTGCTTTTACTTTTTGAGTATAAGCAGTAAGTGACACCACTCAGTCTAGTCTGCACTGCAATACTAACACTACTAACATCAGTTAGAGAATAGCTTCTTCCAATGCAATGAATGGCATTAAGGATTGTCAAGTGATAAACTAAATTATTACTTACCAAGTAATGCTGTGGTTTCACCTGCGTCCTCTTTTAAACTGGTACACTGCAATACAGATTCATTAGTGGAGGAAGCTGACAATTCGCTTACTTCATTTCTGTCATCATCTTGTAAAGCAATACTCAGACTTCCGACTGAAACACTGCCACTTATTGATTCAGGTATTTGAACTTCAAGGACATCTTCAGGGTCCCCCTTCAAAATTAAATACATTTAACTGACACTTTTGTCTACCATTAGGCATCATCATTCCTCCATGTTACCACTTTATAACCTCACCTTATTGGAAAAAAGACCATTTTGTTTGCCTATTATCTATGCGCTCATGGGTAGTGTTGAACAGCGTCTACTTTCAGTGTTACTGTCTGAGTACAAAGAAACAAAGCCAAGCAAAAGAAAAGCCACTTTTTCCAAGCCACCCTAAAGCCAAGAGCAGCAACAGGAGTCAACCCAGCCAGCCTTCTGGATGGAATATTTCAACACTGTAGGAACAGTATTGCTGCAGTTAGCAGCAGGCTCAGCACATACAAAGTCTTCACTGAGCAAACCTATTGATCCTTTGAGTTTGTAGAAGCCTCTGTTTTTCACAATAGTAGTTGGGCAAGCTTAGATTTTTTTTTTTTTTTACTGGGGTGAGCTAACATTTGACATCAGAAAAAACTTCCCTCCTCCTCTACCTCCAGCCTAAACCTTAAGTCTGTTCCAAAAATGCAAATATGCTGGCTTGTCGCTTTGCGGGAACAAAATAGCTGCAGCACAGGCAAAGGAATTTATTTCACCTATTGTATATAGCGTGAGCTATTTCTGATCTAATCTGAAAGTTAATTTGAAGTCCTACTACATGCACAATTCTGTTCATAAAATTAAACAGACTACCTTCACTAAGCCATTGCCATCGATATACTGACATTATTTGTACAAAAGCAAGTATACTGCAGTACAAGTAGCTATTCTGTGGGCTTCATGATGACTTTTTCCCCTCGTCAAACAATTAGCAAAGGCCCATCTTAAGATTTAAGAAATTCTAGGCTGATTCTTTCTTTAGCACCGAAGCAGCATATTTTAAAATGTACTGAATTTTAATAAGCTATAGAACTGCTACAATTGAACACAAGTTAAGACACATGTGATACTAATCTCTACATGTGTGGGCAGGGGGGCATTAATAATTTTGGTTTCCGAAACTTACGCAGTTAAATAAGCACTGAAACTACAAGATTCAACAATGCTCTACTAAATCAGTCAGACATGCTGAACTGCTGTTCTTTTTCTCGTACGAAACAGCATAATGCAGAACTAGACCACTGAAGGCTGCTCCCTACAAAACAAAAGCCAGGTAATAGGACCTAGTGCCTTCTCTCTGCTTTGAGCCTTGAAAAATTTTTAAGCATCTAAAGTATTTGCTCTCCATAAAACTGAATTGAGCCTTCAGCCTCTTTGCAGAACGTTTAGTAGATTTCTATAATAAGGCTGCACATTCCTGTTTGCAGTTACGTCACTCAGCGAGCACACTGCTGAAAGAAGCTGCCTTGCTCTTCGCACTTTTTTTCCTCACATCAGTAAAAAATTCACACAATCACTCTACAAACTAGATTGGGCAACCTGTATCAGGCTGAAAACTGAGCTAGAAAACAAAAAATACTGAATGATTTCCCACATTATTAGCTTCAGTGGGACTTGAATGATTGATGCATAAGCAGTACACATTTCCCCCATTCCATTAGAAAAAACAACTGAGCTTCTGTATTTAATATAATCCCATTCAACCTGCTTTCCAACATTCATTTCGCATAACAAGCAGAGGAGGCATTACTCCTCCTGGTTAGGCTTGCTATCAGTATCTTCTGCAACAGCATGAATTCAGGGAATAAAAGTGTTCTGAAGGTTCTAATATTTCAGTTTTCAGCCTGTATACAAAAGGATATATCCTTCTGTATGTAACACAAGTTACATCAACTCCAAGAACTGGAAGTGAGCAAAAAATAAGCTGCTAACATAACAATATTAAAGTAATAATAGTGATTTCACATAACAAAAAGATTGCAACTCTTGAGTCAAGTCTGACTTAATACACAGAAGCACCACAATCTGGTATACATATTAAATAGCAAGAGTATTGTCACATTTGACAAAACAAAAGAGCAATTCATAAGTCTCCCATAGATCTACTAAGTCTCTGCAAGGAAATAAGAGAAACGCTAGTCAAAACGCAGACCTAATCTATGAAAGGAAGGTCCCTGAAACCAAGGAACACCCCTGTTTTCTGACGATCTCTGTAGATCAGTAGAAGAGAAAAGAGGTACATTCATGCCTATGGCATTTTAGTGGAACTCAAGACTATTTATCAACAGTGACCGAGTAACCTACCGCATGTGTCTTCATCTCTCTTTTCTGGTGCTGTCAGAAAGAAATGAGAGCACATCATTTTCTCTACTTAACCAATTTCTGGTGAATGTCTTTAGGAAGGTTCTAAGTACTGGCTCATTTACAGGGATAAAACACTGGGCATACGTGGAAGTACACAAACACTCAAGATAGAAAAACTATAATTTCTTCCTTTGAATCGCAGTTCTCGACAAAATCAAATATATGCTCCAGATCTATTGAATTAAGTTATATTTTTGCAGCTTGGGCAAATTGCCTCACCTCTGCTTCAACTTCCTTACTATCATCAGCTGGAGACAGAAAAAATTGGTTATCACAGAGAGTACACACAGGATTCATAAGCTGCTCGATACACTGTTTAAGATCTTACCCATAAAACTCCCTTATTTTTCTGGTTCTCACTCAATTACTCTTGCATCTTTGCCCAGCTTCTTCAGTCTTGTCAAGTAACAACTGTTCTCATTCTGAACAGTTACATGAAGTCTTGCCTCCTGCACTGTACTTCTACCTTGAAGATTAAAGTAAATGCGCAACATACCCAGTATCCCAAAGCTTTGATAACATCTAGTTTACACATTGGACAAGTTCGGTGGTCCAAAAGCCAAGGGTCAATGCACGTTCTATGGAAGATGTGCCTAAACAAAAGAAATGCCCTTTAGAATTTATCACAAAAGCCACACACTACTCCTTCAAACAATGTGCAAGTTACTAGATTAAAAAATAAACCCATTCCTTTATCACCTTGACAATTAGGTACTGCTTAACTTAAGACAGACATAGTTCTGGAAGTATCTTCTTTCATGCTAGCTTTCTGAAATAAGAGATGTTACTAACCATAAGGACACCACAGAGTTACCAGTTCAACTGTGTACAGTTCTAACTTAAGAAAGCTCTACTTCACTCCTACCCTTCTCCCAATTGCTCCTTTTTCCTGCACAAAGTGCTACATGGTCTCCCAGTGCCCTTCAACATGTAACAGCCCATATAAATGGCACAGCTTCAGCTCTGCCACCAGAGTTTCAGAAGAGTTTCCAGAAAGTTCGACAAATATTTCTTAGGGAAAACATGCTAAAGAGGAAAGAATAATTATGGCAACTTACTTGCATGGCAGAATTCGGACAGTGTCTTTCAGTTTATAGTTCTCAATGCATACAGCACAGTTTTCCACATCAACATCTAAACCCTAAATATGACAACACATTTAAATGCATTACATCCATATTTCATCACAGAACAAGCTTTGTGTAATAGCTAGCTTCACAGAATGTAAAACTTGTAAAATGGTTTAGCAAATAAAAATCTCTCTCTCGTTTAACTCAAGATTCCATCAAGAGGTGACTTGATCAAGTGATACCAGATACTGAAAGCAGCCAAACCTGGATTTTCTAATTTAAATAGCTATACATGGTACCTTAAGTAATCTGTTAAGTCTCGAACACTGGCTTTACTCATGGGAGCACAGTAAAATTTCAGTTTAAAATAACTACAAAATGAAGAAATTTTAAAAGAGGTCAGTACAGATGAAAACGCACCATCTAATTCTTAACTGATGGTCCCAAAGACTTCTGAGTGCTTAAGTAGGAAGAGATTCTTGGGGTTAAATACTGGAAAGCCCTTCTTCCCCACTTTTTTCTACCACATCCTAGCAGATATCCTCTGGTAGCTATGAGAACTGAAATATGCAATTTGGGGTGGTTTTGGAAACTTCTCTCCAAGCCCAAACCAGAGAGACAGTCAAAATGCAGTATTTCCCCACCTCAATTTGTTTCTTTCTAAGGGTTAAATATCCTTCCTAACAGGTCTTACTGTCTTCTTGAAGCCTACTTATAGCTGCAGTGCAAATATGATGGTTATCTCCAGATGCAAGAGAAATAATTCAATGTTAATTGGGTTGTGTAAAACATAAGTATTAGAAGAACAGACAGTGAGCCAACTTCTTCCCTTTCATCCCCCACAACATAAGTATTTTTTGTTTACTGCCTACTGAAGCACTTCAATTCCATTACCAGAAACACTCAAATGAATTAGTACTGCAAGCAAACTTTCAACTTCAAGGCAAGTTTTTCCCTCCTTTGCATGCTATCAATTTACATAATCAATGCTTAAATTCCCAAGTAAATCAAATTAAGACTGCTTTTTTACAAAGCATTACAGTTTGCTTTACGAAGCAAAGTTAAGGGAAGTACTTATTCTATAATAAATTTTTTTTTATTCTGCACAAGAGGCAAAATCCAAGCACACCATATGTAGCACATACTCAAATGAGTGTCCATTTTACAATAATCCCATAAGCTTCTCAGGAAGGATCTACATGATAGCAAATACACTTTTAAAATATTGACCTATTTTTAGTTAAATACCTCAACCCCAAGTGAAGTGATAATGAAAGACTGTACTGTGTCACAATAAAAGAAATATTCTCTTTTAAATGGCTGAAAGGAAATATCTAAAAAAAAAAGTACATTTACAGAGTAGACAGGACTGTATTTCCAGATAAATTTTCATTAGTTCATGAAATCAGTAAGTTACATAAATTTACTGATAGTAGGCTGATTCAAATCAAATCAGAAGACATGAGTTACCAAGCAGAAAAACTCCATTTTAATAGAGAGATTTTAACCTTATCTCATTCTACTCTGCTTAACTAACACGGCATTCATAGTTACAACCAGTATACTGTATAACAGCTTAAATTACCCCATTTTATTTATTTTAGTCAAGGGTATATCAATGGGAAGGAACTACCTGGTACACTGCAAAAATCTCACAATACAAATCCTTTTTAGAGGTTTACTGAACATCAACTGAAAAGCTGTTAACATCTTCCTTGTGGTTCTCACCATAGGTTTCATCATGACCCTTTTACATCCATTTCTTCCAGTGTTGATGTTATGCTTTGATACTGCTTTACACAAGTTTTGGTTCAATTCCACCCTTCTTGATCTCTGATCTCACCATTGTATGAACAGAAGTATGACTATCCCTCTGTTCACAGCTTGAAATAGACTACTTTTGATGGAATTTAGAACACAATTAAAAGTAATAAATACTTGTAAAATGCTACTTAAACACACTAAATGCATAAGATGAAAAAAGGCAAGTTCAAAGACAGTTTTGGGTTTTTTAAAATTTCAAAACCGATGTACTAAATGACAGACATATTCTCTATAGCATGTGACCTGAGCTGAACAGCTTCTGTTGAACCACAGCTTTTAAAGCCTTACACATAAATGTCCTTTCTCACCTCAATTTTATTCATAGATTAAAAAACCTAATCCTTGTTTTTCATCTCTGAGCAAATCAGTCCTTTAAGTAAAAACTAATCAAATAAGACAAGGGTTGGGGAAAAAAAAATGCCTATGTAGTAGCAGAAGTCTAGTCAGAAGCTAATTTGGCATCTAGGATCAGAGCTGCCTGAAACTCCGACTAAAATAATATTTTCTTTCAAAACCATGGCTTTTTCTACTTCAGTTATTCTAATACAGCTTTGAGGTTTAGGCTGTATGCTGTCAAAGCTAACTTTCGAAAGCTGTTATTTTTTAGAATAGTTGTATTTTAATACATAGAAATGTACTTCTAAAAAATTTATGCTTCTAGTAAGTCTATGCAGCTCCTTAATGTATTGTATGTCAAAAGATGAAACAAATGTTTCATTCTTCAAAGCTTTTTAGATTTCTAAGGCCTTCTGATCAATAAAAAGATGGATGTTCTTTTAAGAAAACAAAAGATTACATCAGCTGTAAGAACTGTGTAATCAATAGGTCCTAGGAAGTATTTTGTAATCCACTTGTTGATGTTTTCAAGTGCTGGAAAGACTATAGTGTTTCCTCATCTTTACGGTACCAGCCCTGTAGTCTCCTGCAGCATTCTGTATAACCAGGTACTATTTCCAACAAAACAGCCTTACATTTCTTGAGTAGTTCAAATTTGACTCTTCAATTTTAAATCCTGCCTTCTAAGCAAAGGCCCTAAAATGAGCCTAAAGTTGTAAGTCACACTGCAATTATGTTGTGAGAATTTCAGTTCAAATTCTATAAAGACATTACAACAGTTTTTAAATCATACAGCAATAACCGGAGCCACTGAATTACCTTTTCTCCACGTTTCACAGTATGCAGCTGAAGCTGGCTGATTGCTTTCTTGGTTTCTTTCCTATGTCCCTTGAATAAAGATTTGAAGTATTAGTACACAAGTCAGTTTTAAGAGTTACATTTCAAAGCTTTTACATACTTTCCATGTGGGTTACCAAGTCTTTTGAATGCATCTAAAAAAAATTAATCTCTGGCTAACTAATTTGTTTACAAAGTACTCCCAGCCAGCAGATGTTGAAGAACTGCAAGTTTTGCATTCTCGGGCACAGCAGCAAACATTATCTATAAGTGCACTGCTCTTACAATGAACTCAACCAGTGCAGAACTATGCAGACCAAGCTGACGTACGTAGCCTTGTATCGTGATTGCCTGCACTAAGGGCCTTCCCGCAGAGGAAAATTGAAACTAATGTAGGCTTTCGAGCTGAAACAACAGCCGTATAACCAGACCTTCTAGTTAGGCAAGCCCATGAGCAAGCACACAGTAAGTTTTGCGCCAGCTTGAGAGATGGTGGAATCCTGCCGGGCAGCCTACAGCTGGCCACCAGGTCAAAAAGCTGCTTGTAGCTATTAATACTTTCCCTCCGTCAAACACTATCTCACACATTATACAAAGCTTTGCACTGAAAGGACACATTATGCAAAGGAGATGACAAGAAAGGCTTAACAGACATGAAACACCACACTGGACTTCTATACAGTAACAGTCCTGATTGTGCTTAGAGGGGAAGCAAGAGAAGAAAGCAGTACTGTATTCCAAGACAAAGTGCTAGCTACTGCTAGAAATTGAGAAACTAAACACTCCCAATTAACAGATGTTGATCTGTCTAGCAGCAACCCTCACTGAGGAAATACCATAAAGGAATAAACCACACATAATGGTAGCTTTTCTCTGTAATAATTACAATGACTTATATCACTTTACAAAGTTATAGTATTGAAAATTGGGATTTTTTTTTTTTATTTTTTATGGTGTTAAAAACAATCAGTCTGAAAGTTCTCTCAGAAATGGACAGACAACCAGCAGCAGTGGTCTATTCCACCTTCTGTATCAGCTCAGGGTTTTCCGCACAGTCCTGTTTCACCTTCAGTAGCAAGGGGGTCTTCCAAAGTTTTACTGCTAAACCGATGTTAGAATAAATCTTAAGATACCTGTCTTCACCTTCACTCAGCAGCTACACAGTAGCTTGCTTTAAAGCATGGCATACTTAACTCCCAAGTTTTAATTACACTAGAGTCAGTAAGCCAAGCAAAATAAGATTTGGGTTAGAAAAGTGGCATTTCACTTCCAAAATTCTTTTAAGACTCCTAATGATGTATCTTGACCAAGACTTTCAAAACATTTTCAAACTTCCCATAGTTTTGTAAGGTTTTGTTTTCAATGGCCATTTTAAAAGAGGGAGAACTGAGAAAGTGGTATAACCTTCTAACGTTAGACAATTTAATTAAGAAGCATTTAGATGACAAGCCCAATGGCAAAAATCTGTTAAGAGTCTGTGGTCCACATTTCTGGGAAACATCACATTCATCCTAAAAAATGCTCTTAAAACTTTTCATAAAGCATGTCAACTTCCCTTAGCATGAACTATCCTAAAGCCAACAGGAAGAAGCACCTTTCTTCACCAAACAACTGTTGCAACATAAAACCACTCCCCTTTTTCTATAAATACTTCTCAAAAATTTTGTTTTCTTGAAAGTGTTCTCAGAATTTAAGTTCTAAGACTTAAAGCATAGTAAAAAAAGAGTCTAGGGAACCAACATTTCAAGGGGACCGCAAGTTTCACCAATACAGAAGTCCCATGTGTTATCCTCAGTTACTGAAAAGAGAAATTAAGTATTTTCCCAGAAGACTCCTGTAAGTCCTAGGCACAGCTCAGACTCCTGAAGGCAAACAAAAATTCCCTTCCCTCTTCCCCCAAAGCTAGAATCTACATGTTCAAGCAGAAGGCAGGGGAAGTCCATGTGATATGCAGTCATTTGAAACAATTTTTTTTTTTGTTCTGACCTGAGGATTAAACAAAAAAAAACAAAAAAGAGAACTGCTTGCAAAGAAAAACAAGTGCAACTTTCATTTTCACTGTTACTAGAGAACTATGGTAGAGCAGCTGATGACCACGGAAGGAACTTAACCTATGTGCAAAAGTTGAAAACCACAAGGAAGTGCCATCCCAAGATGTTTTCAAAACTCAGCTGGACTAGGTCTCCAGCTGACTCCAGCAACTCCAGTTGCTCTCAAGTGCAGGGGTTTGAACCAGATAGCCTCCAGAGGTCCTTTCCAACCTAAATTATTCTATGATGAAGTACTTCCCTCAGGGGAAAAAAGTAAAGCTGATTTTTTTTGTTAACCTATCGAAGAACAGGAATGTGGAAGGCGCAAATAAGGAGCAAAGTTATTCCTTCCTGATATTCCCAGTACTCCTACCGCTCTCAGCACTTTGGGTAGTCCAAGAGAGCTGAATCTCACCACACATGCAATTTGGTACTCTACAGTGGAATGGTAGGATTACAAGTATCAAAGGTAGTTTTCATAAAGCTTTAGAACCAAAAATTCTAGCCCTAACTACTTGTGGGTCTTATAAAAAAAAATTTACCGTGGTCTCTTTCCATTAAAAATAAGTCTGGTTAGTGAAGTTAGTACTTTCAGTATGAAAATTACTGAAGAATGAAAATAATTTTAATTTCAAAAGGAAGGAAGTTAAGTTAGGTGACAAATCACACAAGAAGCTGCCTTTACTCAGTTGTTGACAAGTGGCTAAATGTATTTCCCACGACTTCATACGAGTATCTAATAATTATAACTGGCCAAACTTGCAATGCCAATTAGCACACTGCTTATTAGCCTCACTAACCATTACTGACTAGTATTCACAGATAGTAAAGTAGCAAGAAGGCACAGATCTTCAAGAATGCTTCAATAAACAAGCAAAGTTAGGCAACTGATTTGACATGAGAAGACGGTAAATACTCTAAAGCATCATCATCTCCAATTACCTGGTTTCCAAACTGTGATCCTGTATACAGGAAACGTTGTATATAGTAAAATATGAGCCAAGCGAGTGATATAATCATCATGGTGATGAAGGCGATGGCTACAAACACAACCGACTGGCCACTAATATATTCCTGCACATGTCGTGTGCCAACAATAATAGTCATTTTTACTGGAATCCCTCTTCGTACTGGTTCCAGTATCTCTATCCCTTTTGGATAGCCAACCATTATCACCACTGTATTTCCTGTTCCTGTTGGAGGGGGAAAAAAAGAAAAAAAGTCAGTCATCACAGCAAAAATTTAGGCATCCTGTCTTGATGGTCATTTGGGCCTCTCCAGTTAAGATCAGTGAGCAAAGTTACAGGAAAACCTCTAAGTTTTTTTTCAGGCATAGCAGACTTGATATAAAGTTTACTAGTAAAAACCCCTTTATTTACTTTATGAAACTCTCAAACACAAACTTCAACAGATGCATCTTTACTGTTCAAGGCTCTATACTCCTCATTCTACACAGTGAGGTGGAATGTGAATGCCATGCAAACAAACCAGGCAAGTTATACACATCTCATCTTGAAGCTGCTGAAGCTCTAACGTGCAACTCAGGAACAGCTGGTCTTTTATTTGTCAGTGTGGGAATTTTAGCTGCAGATGGAGACAGTAGGTGAATACCATGAAGAGACACACGTTCAATTAAGTTTGAATCTGAATCCATAGCACAATTACACTGGATATGCGAACAAAAAGAGAAGAAAAGATTCAGCTATTTAATATTAAATTACACTAAACACTGAAATACTTAAAGATTCTTCAATACTAAATATTTAAAATGTAACGAGACTTCACAACAAGGACTTGCCAAGAAATACTTTCAGACTCTTCTGGGAGCATGGAACCAAAGGATTTCTCTATTATATTACAACTCGAAAGCACTCAATCCATATGAAAAAGCACCTAATTCCAAAAAAAACCCTTTAAGCACCACATTGCCACCAAAACCAGTAAGATACTGTCAAGACCAACTAGCAGAAACCAAACCTCTGTGACTAGAGTTTTACTCCATTTTGTCTGGAAGCATCTCTGGTATTGTCTCAGAAACATCAAACCTAAGTATTACAAAACAAACTACAAACAAATGTACTTGTTAAAAATGTCACCTTTTCACACTGGTCTGTGCTATATTTATTTGAATAGTTCTTACTTTGTGTGTACTAACGCTGCTACACACCCTTGGTAAAGTCATGGCTTTATAGCTTACTTTGCACTCCTACCTCTGAGAAAAAGTGAAACTAAGCTTGATTCAGAGACAAAGTAGAGGAAGAAGAAAGAAAAGAGGGGTTTTCCTATCCAGAAAGCTAAAGCTGTAATGTCACAGTTACCTTTTCAGATTCTCAAGATTACCTAACTGCGACAAGACCTCCCACTGAAGACTTAAAGCCTTTTTCCCTCCTGGCTGTGTTAGATTCACTACTGAGAAGCTATGTCAAAAGAAATGGTTGCCTAACTTGTAACATTACATCAAGTGGGGATTTTCAAAACTCAGAGCAGCATTCCGGACTCACCCACCTCTCTGCCTACTAAGACAAAGAGTTGTTTGCCTGAAAGATTTAAAACAAACTCCTTTACTTGAGACGGTTCTGGCTGTGACACCTCGTCAACCCGGCCATTCTGCTACCATGCCAAGAGGAATTTACAGAAGTTTCAATTCTGTACATAGCAGTTCCTCCGTCCGTAAGGTGCAGACAGTCTGCTGTGGATGAAACACTAAAGGTTCCAGTTACTAGTTGAATAACCCTCCTACCTCGATGCCAGTTACCCTTTTGCAGCTTCACCTTACACAACCATCCCACTTCTGGTCACCTACTCTAAGAACCATTATACCCATCTGCCAGATCCAGACCCAACAAAAGAGCAGATTTTCCAAATAGGGCTAAGTTTCTGGAGGTTTTGAGGATGGTGCAGGGAGACAGAGAAAAAGATGCTACTGGGGAAAGGCCCAACTTGTGGGTCCCCTCAGGCACCCCCTTCGGCTCACCAGCAGCTCCCAGCACGCGTTGCCTCGCCTGGTGGGTGCGTTAGGAGACAAAGCAGGGAAGCTGTAGGCAAACGAGACAAATCCACAAGCAACTAGGCTCCACTAATTAGGTCTACTCACCAACAACGTGCCGGTCCACATGATACCACAAGTCCAAGTGTACTAAGAATTGGTTAATTCATATTATTCTCTGCTCTGAACCAGCATGAAAGCATTACCAGAGAGACTCATGAATCTTGTAGAGAAGAATGTGTGAAACACTCCTTGCTTTCTGACCCTGCACAACCCCACAGGGAGTTAACAGGAAAAGAATGTATGAAGGTAGAAATTTCTCTCACGTTGCTGAGAACTGTTATCCACATACCTAAATCAGAAGATTTGGTCCTATGTCCCTAATCAAGTGTAAGAGTTACAAGTAACAGGAGGGGTACCTAAGGATGGCTAGTGAACGGTATGGGAGTGCTGGAAAGATTCATGTGATTTCATTCAGGCTTGGGGAAGAAAAGAAAGTTTCAAGATTAGAGGCAGCCTGGATTTTTCAATCAATAAAGGTTTCCTCCTCAATCCTGAAATCTTGAGTCAGTTTAATCCTGCTATCTAGTTCTCTGCATAATTTCTAACAAAGAAGTATTTAAAAACCCCACAATAATCAGTAATGCCTTTCCCTGTTTTGTCACTAGCGTGTCCAACTATCAGCCAGTTATTTCCTTGAAATGGAAGCCAGGATACTTTTGTACAATGGCTGCTAGACACTGTGACACCTTCTAGTTTTAGAACAAACACGAGTCTGCCGTACATTTTTAAATAAATGCCCATTAAAAGCCTTTTAACAGTTTTAAAGACTTGGTGATGAACCTGCCATTAAAAATACGTGCAACTAAACATGACGGCCTTAAAGGTCATAACACTGAAAGAGGAGAAGAAAAAAAAATAATCGCGATCCACTATTACAAAAGGAACAAGAGCAGTCTCAGAGAAGCAGTTGCCCTGAGCAGCCTGCAAGACTAAGGCCTTAACTCATTCCTCACTAATTTTAGACTTCTGTTCTGAAATACATTATTCAAAGACTGAAGTGCTGTTGAGTCATTCCATCAGCTTCTTCAACTGCATCACAACTCAGAGACCTCAGATCACATTTATAAAAGAACTCCAAGTGTCACATACATGTATCTACTGAGAGCATGTCTTGTTGGCTTTGCCTTTCTATAACTTTCTAATTTCGCAGTAAATAACCACATGTTTATTCTGCTCGAGTAAACTTGTCTTCTTTTCTAGGTTTGATTGATGCTTCAGTGGAATCAGGTAGATTTGAAATCTGGTATGTGCTTTTTTTTAACATTATCATCCAAATAAAGCAGTGAGAGCTGGGAGATCCTTAGGAAACCTGGAAAGGAGGGCAAATTTGGAACTCTGAAGATGAAGGTATGTTTCCTGCCAGCACACCAAGGTCAGTTTTACTGCTAGCATTGCTAGTCTTCTCTTGCAAAAGAAAGCCAGCACGCTCTTGATGAGGAAAAAGTAGTACAGATACAGATCTTGATTCCAGACATCCCAAACTATCACATTTATTCCCATCCATCCCTACAGATAACAAAGATAATTTTCTATCATCCAGAAACCAATTGCAGACATACTGTAGTTTTTGTCCTCACAAGAAACACCAGAAAGCTCCCAGAGTTTGAGCACCTTGGTAAAAAGTTTGAGGTCAGTCCTTAGATCTATTTAAGGACTAATATTGCCACAGTTAACACCGAATATTCTCTTTAGCTCCTGGTCCAAACAAACATGCCTGATCTTTACCAAACGCGTAACAGTACACTAACAATCTGATGACAGGCTTTGTCTCAACCATCTACCCCAACCTCATCTCATCAAATCCCTGGTGCACGTTGTTTTCACCTGCTCAAGAAGGAGGATGCATAACCAGCAGAGTCAAGTAGTCAAGCAATCAACATTCTTCTTTCCACATAGGTTTCCAACACATACGCACTCTTATGCATAAAACAGGTATAAGCATTTTGAAGTTACTCCTGCTTCTTCAGAACAACGTAGCAGCTCAACATCTTGCAGTCACTGAGTTAAGCAAGCCACTGATTTCAGTTCTGTCCTTTCAATAGCAGAGTACAAGAAGCTTTTGGTAGAAAGCAGCAGTAATACAGAAGTTACGCACCACTTGAGAATCCTGAGTAGTGCTAAAAGCAATGTAGCAAGGAGTTGAACTATGTGCCAAAATAACCCTAACTCTGCCGCTCTGAAGCTGGCAAGAGCTTATAGAATCACGACTACAAAGTCTTTCGCATCTGTTTTTTCAATATACCTGCATAAAAAAAATATGACAATGAAGGAAAGAACTAGTTGGGTGTATTTTGGTGAAGCTGCACCAAATCAAAGACCATTTTCTTTACATAGCCAAAGTCACATACTCACGTTAAGTCCCAAGCCTCCCTTAAATCCACAAGCCATGCACCAAAGCTCCACTCCAGACCCATCTCAAACTATTGTAGCCAGTTGTCCTTCCTCCCTTCCCCCTGCGTGTCAAGCACAATCATGTTTTATTCCGTAGTCTTCAAGGTATCAAACGTATGTTCTGATCAGCATCACAAAATCCCAGCTTGAGAGGGGATTCAGAGGTAGCTGGATGCCCAGCATGAAGTATATAACAGGAAAACTATAGAACCAGAAGACCCTTTTTTCTTTTCACTGCAATATACCTCTGCCTCCCCCTAATTTCTTGACCCGCATTGAGCCTCTAACTCTCCTTAGTCTGCTCTCCACAATACTCCACACCTTGCCTCTCCAACCCACTCCCAGCTAATATTTACACACAATACTTATTTTGGTTTTGGAAAGGAATTTGAAGCCTCTGTATTATATACCACCACCACCAAAATAAACAGAGTTAAGACTGCCTGCAAAGTCTGTACTCCTGTAAAACTGAAGTTTGAGTTTATACTATTCAGATTCAATAACAGAAGTACAACTCCTTGAGTCATTTGGGTAAAATGAGTATCTTCCACAGGAAAAAACCTCCTCAGCCACACGTGAAGCTGTTTCACTATTACTTCCCCCGAGGAGGGAAGTAATGCAGCATTTTGAACAACATAATTCGGTCAGAGAGCACAGGCCTGAAAAACATGAGACATCAGTGGAGTCATATTTGAAGAACCTTCTTTTGGAAGGAGGGACAGGATTGCAAGGCTAGATATTCAAACTCTTGACTCTGCTGTTCCAAAACTTTAATTGAAATCCCTACTCACTGCACTCACGAAGCTCACAAGGTACCCATGAAAAATAACTAAACTGCAGAGTATTTGAAATGTAAGTCCTTGATCAAATGCTTTGACACCAGCTACAGCCAATCACTTCTTTGCCTAATCAAGAATCTCTCTTTTTACTCAAGTTGGAGTATGTCTAAAAACACAAAACCCCCACCAACAACAGCACACATGCATCACACACACACACCAGAAAGTTCAAAGGCCAGGTTTTTCAGAAGAATGAAAAGATGAAACTTTGAGATCAGAAGAGTTACTCATTTATCACCCTCAGGCAACTGAGGCTGCACCTCTATCAGCCATAACCATTGTTCCATCTCACATCATTTTCAGTGCCACTAACTGCAAATCCGTTAAGTGGATGTTCCTTATGCATCTAACTTCACTCCTTAGTTACAGCACTGCAGATTTCCCAGAGTATTTATTCTCAGCGCTCCTCCCAGAAGCAGGGTTTGTTTCCTCATGTGTCAGTTCACAAATCCCTTCACAGGAATGGCAAACTTGGATCCTGTAAAATACAGCGTTACCTTCTACATGCTTCCTTGCCCGTCTTCCACAAACTTTTTTCCCCCCTTCAAAAAAACCAAGATTGAAAACACTAACAGTAATTCTTCCCTATATTCCCAAAGTGCACCGAAAAATTTGAACATTTACATGTTTGAAAGTTTTGATCATGAAACAAAGATTTGTGACTCCAGCAGAGCTAGTAATTATATTGTGATATATTATTATATTCCTGCCCCAACCAAACCATCCTGAGGTCCAACCTGCATTTGCAAACTCAGTATAAATAAGTACAAATGTATTCTTGTATACATACTAAATCACACTCTTTACATAGGTAGAGGTTTTATCAGCAACTTTCTGCCAGTTTAAGAAGAAGAAACCAACCAGCAGTCAGGGAGCACTGGTCTTCATACTACTGATAGATGTAACTATACTAGCAAGTCCAAACCTGAGCGTAAGCCCAAGAAGGTCTTCCGCAGCAGAGAGATGATACCAGAAAAGAGAAAATTGTAAAAATTTGATAAAATAAGCAAGATGAGAAAAGGAGGAAGAAATTCCACAGAAGAGCAAATAATATTTATGAGAGGCTACGACAGGGGCATGGAGAAGAACATGGAAAAATGCCCACAGGGAACAAAAAAAAATTTTGTACTGACTGGCCAATACAGAGTGACAACAAGAAAAAGAAACTGAAAGCTGGTAAAGAGGAAAGAATTACTATCCAAAGTACCTTAATCACTACATGGGATCAAAGGTACATCTTAACTAGCGTCCCACCTCCACTTTCATGGTGGATTAAGAACACAAGAGATGGGCCAGGCCGATCTACCCAAGCAAGCAGCAGGCTAAGAGGAACGATAATCACGCTTCCAACCCCCAAGTTGGTGCCACTTGGCATTCCAAGAAGAGAGACTTGTTTTCCGCCTGATATATCATATATGCTATGAAGCAACAGCTCCCTAACTGAGATTTTCAGCTCACTATAATAAAGAAAGTATGTTTGTTTTCTTCAGAAACACATTATGGTTCTACTTCAGCCAAGTCCGTTGTCTTGCCCTTCCTCACAACCAAGAATGACAGCGTGGGCGTTAACAAACTCATCGTACCAAGACCATGTGAAACACACATTTGCAGCAATTTTTACTTGGTTTGCTTTGTCTTTGCATCCTCCTCTGAAGACCTGCCAGTTCCTTGGAAATCTACAAATGCAAACAGATTTTATAGCAGAGTTTTGAAGTTTTTTTCCCCTTTGATTTAAGCACTTGATGTCGTCGTGCTCATAAAAATGCAGCAAGACTTTAGTGTCATAGCCCAAGCAGAGACTGCAGCGACGGAACACCTGCGTTCTTATCTGGGCAAAAATCGCACATCCCTTCTGTAGGCTACAGATCACCAGCACGCTCAGACAAGCCAAGTCAACATCCATCTCTAGGCTTCAGCTCTCCCACCGCATTCACGAGCGTTTAAGAATTACCTGATGCTTCTACCTCTCCCCCGTCCTTTACAGACCTGCGCAGGAGAGGACGACGGAGCTGTTACAATAAAGCCTGTACCAAAAGCTATCTTCAGATAGCTACGGCCATGCCTTCGCAGGCACCAGAAGGCATCTTCAGGATACCGGCACAGCCTGCGGAAAGCTGCCTGCCTGTCACCGCTGCAGCCCTTCTGCCAGAGGGTACGAAGCAAAGAGGTAGCCCTAAACGAAACCGTGACCCCCCCCGCCCGCAGCCTGTCACAGTGCTGCCCGCTTCGGACGGCTTCTCCGCATCTTCCCCCCCCCCTCCCCCGACACCCGGGCTGTAACTTGGAAGACAGAAGGCCGGTCCCCAGCGCGGTTTAGAGGAAGAGGAAACAAAAACCCGGCTCTTTGTACCATTTTTACGGGGATGTCTGCCTCCCCCCCAGTCCCTCGCCACCGAGGCGGACCGGCGTTAGACAAAGCCACCCCCCCGAGCCCCCCGCACCCCTCCGGGACTGCGGGGATGGCCCAGCCCCCGCCGCCCCCGCTCACCCAGGTGGGACATGGAGACGGTGCTGTTCCCGAAGCGGGCCTCGTTGTAGATGACCACGGCGGCCGCCCGCTTCCTCGCCGCGTTGGTGACCTTGTCCTTGAAGGTGCAACCGCCGCGGGCCACCAAAGCGATCCAGGGCGGCGGGTCGCCCTCGGGGGTCCCGCGGCCGCCGGGGGGCAGCGGCACGTCGTAGTCGGTGTCGGCGGCGCAGCCTTCCATGTGGCGGGGCGAGGCGCCGCGGGGGATGCCCACCAGGCCCTGGGCGCTCTCCTTCGGCGAGCTGTCCCCGTAACGGCCGCTCTCCGTGTTACCCCGCACCGTGCGGTTGCTGAGCGGCTCCACGTAGGCCGTGCTCACCCACGCCGTGTACCACTCCAGGGCCCTCGCGCCCTGACCCACCGGAGCTCCCAACGCCACCAGCGCCGCCGCCGCCGCCACCAGCGCCAGCCGGGCGCGACGCACCATGGCCCGGCCGCCGCCAACGCGGCTCACGGCTCGGTTCCGCCGTGAACGGGAGGAGGAGGAGGAGGA